CTTTAATATCGTTATCGGAAAAACCGGTTCACAAACAAAGTTATAAAAATTTAATTTATAGTGATTTACTGTAAAAATATTTTAACTAAACATAAAATATACTTGTATTTCATCTAGTACAATTTAATTTAAATATCAGTAATGGTAAGATAATATAATGGAACAACCTAGCCTAATCTAACCAAGCAAAGCTAATTATTATTATTGATTAACATTTTCTTTTGACTGGTTGCCATACATGATTAATGCATATATATTTATGATTTATAAATAATCAACTTGATTATTATTGTAGCAAATCTGTTCAATTAAAAATGTTATTTTATTTAATATAATACCTTTAATAAAATAATTGATTACGTAAAACTATTAATTATAATAATATTATGAAATTATTATATTAGTGAAATACAATACAACTGTATAATTGTGATTTAATAAAGCAATCAATTGTGTTGCCATGCAATACAGATAGTCATATATATATATTTTTTAAAATTTTAATATAAAGTCACACTCATAAACTTGCAGTTTATTTTAAAATAATACAAAAATAATTAGTAAAATTTCTTAAAAAGTTAACATATTTTTCATTATAATACTTAAAACTTTGTTTATTCCTTAAAATTTATAATTGTTTTGAGCTAGTTTTATAACAATTATATATATATTTTGTGCAACAGTTGTGAAAATTAATCAGGGATTTATTCAAAAATATTGATTTTAATAATAATAAAAGTTAAACTAACTCGTAAGAAATAATAATTTTAAAAATATGAATGTTTGATTTTCTAAAACCAAGTTGATCATATTGCTTAATATATTTATAGCTTATACTGAAGAACTTAAAGGAATATTAAATGTAATACGATGGATATTTGACCAAGATTGCCCATATATAATGAAATTCTACAATTCGTGGATCGAAAATGATTATATATTCATTCAAACGCTCCTGGTTTCGCAAACATTATGGGATATTATTGAACTGAAAGATAAAATCTTTGAAAATCAGACCTCCGTTGACATGATTTGCATTGATTTCTACATATCGTATGAATTAATGCGAGAACTCCTGTGTTCAGTTTTCACACAAATGGCCGCACATTGAGAATATTGATTGGAAATTCAAACCACAATATATAGTAATTGCCCAACAGTTCAGGAATAGTAGATATATATAATTACCCTCGTTACTTTGTTACAGTGATAAACGTTTTGATAGAGACTCGTATCATACACGTTATAATAAAGAATTAACCATGGGTTAACCACAATTAAGAATTAACAGCTAATATATTCAAATCAATTCTTGATTAGTAGGCCATATTATTTTGGTCCATATATAAAGCTGTCCATTAATATTAACCAAGTAATTCAACTCTGCTTTAATATTAATGTTATAACAATTAGAAAAGTAATACTTTATACGATAAGTTGAAATACTAGTTTGCATTGATGGATCAAATATTTTTACAAACATAAATTTTTAATATGAAATATTTATATCATTTAGTAAAGATAAGGCAATTGTTTTGGGATTAAATATGAATAGAATTAATGACTTTATAATTGATATGAAAAATGAAACGGATTTGAACGATAAACCGGCAACATATGTGTTAAATGAATTCACAGACAGTTTCGCACATAATATACAAATAAGTGATGTAATGATTTCCACATTTCAAACGCACATCCAATTCATGCATTCACACGAATATGAATACAATTTCTTCATTCAATTCCTTTTGGCAAAAATAAATACAAATAAATCAGAGATGGGTTTGAGTCTAACGGCGCCGACAGTCAATGTCGAGTCGACCCCCGAAAGTGTAGTCAAAAACATACAAACGGAGCAATCAATTGACGACACGATTGGAGAGGGAGTGAAGAAAGTGATGAAAACCGATGACAAAAGTAGCGCAACATTAAGACAACAACAAAGACATCGCCGAAGAAATATACGGATTTTTGGACAGTCAGTCGACAAGTGGTGCCACCGCTGTGGCAATGGTTTCTTTGGCAATGTGGATGAAAGGATATATAATTTTGATTTTATTAATTTATTTTATTCAGTATTTCTCACAATATGTATTCAAACTAAATAAGCAATACTTGTTTATGGGAGATAAAAATATATAATAAAATTGTTAACTATTTTAATATTATATTGAATTATAAGTAAATATTTAATTTGAATATTAATTATATTGTAAGAGTGGCGAAGTCATAGACCAGTCCGCCGTCGACCACCAGATTAGCACCGGTTATGAACGCCGCGTCACTCGAGGCCAGGAATGCCACCCCTTTGGCGATATCCAGGGGTTGTCCCAATCGCTTGAGTGGTGTCACACCCTTTGCCTTCTCGTATAATGGGTCCAACTTTTCAGTCACTTGTGTAGTACCAGGGCTATTACATGTATTACATTTGAAATTAGCATGAGTTTTGTTTACAAAGTTCTACCTGGTGCGATAAATCTAAACACATGTTTGAATTCCGCTTTACTATGACTAAACAGTAATGCGTTAAACATGTAGTCATAGTCAAGGAGAGTTCAAATGTGATTTTATTGCATCAGGCGAATCAATAAATTAAATACTTTATTGTATTGACACGAATGCCTATCGGCGCCAATTCCAGCGCCAGTATGCGAGTCAAGTGATCCAATGCCGCTTTGGACGTACTATAGGCTAATTGCTGTGCCCACTACAATATATAGCAATATAATTAATGTCCACAACAAAATTATTAACTGAAAATAAAAATCTGATCCTAATATAAACAACACCAGTGTTTCAACTCTGCTGTCACACGATTGCTAAAACGATATAGTAATGGACAATCATATGACAGTAGAGTCGAAACACTGGTGTTGTTTATATTTATCAGATATAACTCTAGTTAGCTCTGTATTACCGGATCGATAGCCACGATACTCGAGATGTCAACGATCGTACCGTTAGTTTTGGCCAATAGTGGAACCGATTCGTGGATCAGTTCGACGACTGCCCTCACATTGATGTTCATCACCTGATCCCACACTTGCAATACGTCCGTTTGCGTGATGTTAGTGTACGGGTATATACCGGCGTTGTTCACCAGTACGTCGAGTTTGCCAAATGTTTTGGTCGTATTGGCGATCAATTGTTTGATGACTTCCGATTTGGTTAGATCTCCCACCACTTCCAGTGGCTATTCATTTGCAGGGATTTAATTACATGATAAATGGTATACATGATACTTTTAGGGGTTTAATATGACATAACTAAACAAAAGTAGTGTTTCAATTCTGCTTTAGTGTGATTATTATACTGCCAATCATACACATACAGTCATTTTAAAGCAAAGTTGAAACACTTATTTTGAATATTTCTATCAAAATTTATAAGCAAATTATACACTGCATGTAAAAACAAAATTATCGAGGTTCATTTATACTGTACTATACATACCTTTAATTTCGTTGGCGACAAATCCTGCACCTCTTTGGCAACCCTCTGGACTTCATCGGCTTTCCTACCGGTGATCACAACATTGGCCCCCAATATGGAGAACAGTTTGACGATCCCCTCCCCGATCCCGGCGCTACTTCCGGTCACCAAAACTACTTTTCCCATAAAGTTTCGCGATTTCTCCACATTTTTATAGTCAATGATATCATAATCGGCGCAAACGGTCGACACCAAAGCCAATGCTAATAATAATTTCATTTTTACTGTTATTTGCGATATAACTATACTTTTGAAAGTATTATTATTAGTGAATTTGACATACTTATTGGTCCTTTTTATAGTATTTTGAAATAGGCGCATAAAACTCATTGTATTGTTTGTGCCAAATATATCATTGTGCTAAATGATCAAGTATGCTTTTTGCATTTGATCAGTATAATCCCATAGCACTTAATTATCAAGGTTTGATTAAATACTTTTCTATATACTCCATTGTCACACAATAATTATCTATTTGTACTAATATTGTACTTTCTCATTGTTTCCTATTTCTCAGTGCGAATGAAGTGCTTACTTACATCACCAAGGTTGGTTAGTTTATAACTCAAAACCCTGTTTTCAGTTCATTTTTAGTTCATATTAAGTTAATGTTAAGTTTATTTTGTAGTCTTATTTTGTAAATGTGATGATATTTAATATATAATTAATGTCAAGGGTAACCGTCTATGAAAATATGTGAGCATGCAAAATGACAATTTAAGATTATTAAAATCAATATTATTAAAATCCGCATTCATATGACACAGAAGGTTAAAATGTGATTAACAAGGTAATTATATAGTATAAAATTATATTACATATTATGACCGTACAAATGTATAAGTACAAAGGTTAATATATTGTATAATATATTATACGAATATAATGTTATAAAAGTTTTTAAGTTATACACAGTAAAAGAGTTTTAATAATAATTATTAGGGTTAACAAGACCATTTTTATTGAATTAATTCTAAAATGTGATGAGAATTACAATAAAATAATAAAATATTTTGAGCGCACGTTGTCATGTAAATTGTGTTTTAATTTTAAACTATTTATAAATATCACAACTAATGGAGTTAAAATAAATTCAAAATTTTTACAAATAGTTTCGTATATTATTATGAGTACAGGAGACAAAATTATAATTAAATAATTGTTGCCCTCCCAATGCCCTCCTGACCTATCTTAATTTTGTCAATTTGTTCTCCCGGGCTCTGGAGTTAGGTGGCAGCCATAATTATGTCCTAGGTATTATGTGTTACACAATTGTTTCTAACAAGTAAGCTAATATCCTATTAAAATCAACTATGAAAACAATCTCAAACACTTTAATCCATTTTCAGTGAAACACTTCAGATTACAATACAATTACGTAAATGAAAGTCAAAGTTTTCAAACATATTTCTCTATATAAACAATCGCTTGTCTCTCAATACTTTCAATCAGTTATTTTCATTCAATAAAACAGTGTTTTGTGGGAAAGACCAAATCTAAAAAATATGCTGAAAATTGCGATCTTGGTGTCGATGCTGATGGGAGTGACCCTCGCGGTGGCGGTCGACCCCTGTATTATCAATGAGGGCGAGGCCTGGGCTAAGACGATGGTCCAACAGATGACCGAGCGGTCAATAAGGAGGAAAAGGCCAGGGGTCAGGTCATGACCTATATCCAGATCATCAACACCATGGGTGATATGGACCACTGTCTCGCTTACTTGCAGTTTTACAACCAGGATCATGTACGCTTTATTTATTTGTTAATGTTTTAAAAAATTATTAGCCATGTTTAATTTATTTAAAAGGTGAAATAGTCGTGCACAATCCAAACCACCGATGATGGCACCTACACCCACAAATACACCATGGGCAAGGTCAAATGCCACAAGTCCGATTAAGTCGATGAACTTGTCAATTGTTTTAATTGTAACCAGGATATAATTGTTGTATAATGTTACTTTGGAAATAGCAAACAGTTTGATATACTTTTTGTTAGAAATATGTTTGCATTTAATATTTTTAATTATAGGTAAAACTACTATTTTTATAAATGATCAGTTTGCTTATAATTTTTTTATGGCAATGAATCGTAAATTAAATCTAATCAAAAGTAAAAATATTATATATTTGTAAAGTATATGTGGTTTAAAAATACAAACATTTCTAAGAAATACATTTGAAACTTATTTCTACTATTATTATAGTTTTAATTAAATAAATGTTTATTTGAAACTCTGAAACAAAAATCAAATGCTTTTACTTTTATGGCATGAATTCCATGTATTTATAAATATATGCCAAANTACTTTTATGGCATGAATTCCATGTATTTATAAATATATGCCAAATGTATGTCCAGTATAAGTGGACATCAGTGCATACACAGTGTATGGGAACTGGAGGTCAACATAAGGCCTGAATGGGGTCAACCACCAGAATAGCCAGCACTTGCATCCACACAAACACACCGCACATACAATAAAATATAAAATATTCTGTATTTAAACTCAACACAAATGCACACAAAATATCATATAATTTGTACACACATTGAGTGCACTATTCGTGTTACTCATTGTCATCTATTTTATATTCAATTTATTTAATACTATTTGTATTTCATAATCAAAAGTCAAAATAAAACTTAATTTTGTTTTATAAATCAATTCACGACTGCAAACAAAACTTTTATTTCATTTGAACGAAAAAAGTGTTCAAAGATTTTTCAAAAAACTATTCGCAAAACGACTCATACTTTACATATTATATTAATTTATAGATGTCTCGTGTGTTTGTGACCCATAATCAGTGTTATAATTACAATAAAACCTATCATTGAGTTTTACTGAACCTTAAATATACTTGCATGTCATCTAGTACATTAAATTTAAATATCAAAAGGAACGGTAAGATAATAAAATGGACCAACCTAGCCTAATCTAGCATAACCTAACTAAACAAAGTCTATAACTATTACTGTTTAACATTTGCTTTTAACTGATTGCCATATATGACTAATTGCATATCTTAAATAATCATGGCATTGTTTGCATTGTTATAAAATCTTTAGTTTATTAGAAATCATAAAATTTTCAAAGTTTATGACCCAATAATATCCATAAACTATTGCCTCGCAATTATCATGTTTTTGTTTGACTCAATCCGGTTAAGTTTGTACTCAATATGAAATAATGTTATAATTATATTATTATGAACTAAATGTTTACTTCATTTTTAAGAAAAATTAATTTAGTTTTTATATTTGTGCGAAAGTAATGTATTAATAAATTGTAATAAATTTAAAATAATAAAATTTAAAAATTTAATTATTTGAAAATGTTATCAAAGTTAATTATATTTAATATTTAGTAAAGTATTAAAGTGAGCTATTATAAAATATATAATAAATGTACAAATATTCTAAATGTTAAATAATTGTTTAATTAGCCATGTCATCAGTGTTAAATAATTATAAAGTGTTTAATGAAATAGCAGACGATATAAAACAATGCATTAAATTATTTTATGTTTTCGATGACGACGGATATAACACACTGTTTGTGACATTTGATGATTTGGTGTATGGATTTGGCCATAATTATGGGGGTAAGCTTGGTTTAGGACATAACACACCCATTGAGGTCCCGGTAGAAGTGCCAGAATTATGCCATCAAAATATACAACAATTTTACAATGCATTGGGTATTGTATTGGCTGTCAATACGGATCAACAAATATTTAGTTTTGGTCGCAATATGTATGGAGAATTGGGACGGGATGTATATCATAAACCGGATGTTATTCCATATTTCGCATCAAACGGTTTAGTTATCGACCAAATATGTTGTGATTACCAGAATACTATTGTGTTGACAACCAGTGGACAGATATACGGGTGGGGGAATAATGAACATGGACAAGTAGTATATGGGGATAGGCGTTTATATATTACAGATCCTACAGAATTTACACATCCATTAATATACAAATATAATAAAATTATGTGCTTCGATAGCCTATCACTTGCCATTGCATCGGATGGACAGGTGTTGTTGTGGGGAGGGTATGTTGGTGAACCGGAAATATTGGATATTGCAATGAATATACAAAGCTGTTGTAGATACAGTCAAAATATGTGTTTATTATCAAACGATGGATTACTATATTATTACGATCTTTTAGATAATACATTGCAAATAATAACTCATATGATATTCACTGAAATAAAACAATTAGAATCATTTGAAAAAGAAGATATATTAATAACCGGCATATCTGGTGGTAAAATATATGAAATTAAAGTTGACCATATAATTGAAACTAGTTATAAAACATTTAATGATTGTTATTCAAGTGTATTGCAAATGACTTTAAATACTATTTCAACAGATAATCAACAAAATAGTGAAAATGTATTAAATGAAAACACCGATAAGAATGGCAAGTATTAAATCATGTACCTATCAGAAAAATAAATTAATATATAATTTTTATTTATTGATTATTAATGAAGAATCAAATTATATATTTGATAAAACCTTTAATGTAATAAATAAGCTTGGTGAAGGTGGTTATGGGACAGTATATGAAGTTAAGTCAAAATGTGACAATAAAATCCATGCTATAAAGAAATGTCAATTAAATGGTATAATATAATACAGATATGTATACGTAATACTTAATATAATTGAAATTAACTAATTTTATTATAGATTTAACAGAAAAAGAGAAACAAAATGTTTTAAATGAAACGAAAAGTCTTGTGAAACTTCGGTCAGAGTTTGTGATTCAATACTACTGTTAATGGATTGAATGCAATTGTCTTTACATTCAAATGGAGTTATGTGACGATAGTTTGACAAATGTTTTGAAAATTATGAAAATAGTTAATTATACTAGTAGACAGTTAATAAATATTGAGTTTTATATATCGTATCATATGTTTCATAAACTGATAGAATGTGTTCAATATTTGCACGAAAAGCATATCATTCACAGAGACCTCAAACCGGATAATGTGTTGATTTCAATTAACGGACGCATAAAGTTATGTGACTTTGGTTTGGCTAAAGAGTTTTTAAATTGTGATAAATTTAATGTATCCAAAGCTACACATACGGCAGAAGTTGGAACCGTTGACTATATGGCACCGGAAGCTCGGACTAATGAATACAATCATTTGATAGATATCTACAGTCTGTCACTAATTGGGGCTCAAATATTTGGTTTCGATACAAACGATTTAAAGGACGGAAAGTATGTTTATTTCTAAAAATATCATATTTCAAATTTCTTTTATTATAAAATATTATTTCAGGATTAATTTAATTGGAAAATGCAATAAAAATTTTAAAAGTATACTCATTTATTTGAATGCATTATTGGTATCAATGAGTGTCAATAAGTATCGTAAAAATGGTTCAACAGATTGGAAGCAAAGACCCGAATGTTCGCACATTTTATCACAATTACAACAAATAGTGATTAAACCTGTTATGGATGAAAATTTTTGGAATTTTTTGTATACTATTTTAGAACAAGGACATGATTCTAGTACAATCTATGAGTTATTTTTGCGCTGTGATCCAATTATCCGAATACCCAAGGGACATTTAATTATTAATTCAATTTTAATGAAACGTTAGATATTATTATTTAATTTTGATAAAATATTTTAACATTGCATCATATTTTAGAAAACAAATTTAATGTACCGCAGTTTGAAATGGGTAACTACAGAAAGCTGAATGATTACATTTCAATTCGCAAAGTGGTGGATAAAATTTTGATGAAAATGTATTCACATTGAAAATAAGTATAAATGGTAAGAAAATATGTAAACTATTTAGAATTTAAATATATGTTACATAAATCTTAATTATATGAGGAATATTGAATTCAACCAGACATATGGTATAATACAGTATTTCTGTATAATACCTTCGACTACTAAAATATAATTTATACCACAATTATTTTATTTTATAGATTAGTTACGATTAAAAGGTTAATATTTATTTATTAAAAAGTTATGTAAAGTAATTATAATATTCGTATAATATTCTTATGTACGAAAGTATTATACGAAATGTTTGCTTGGATTTACAATCACAATATAGATGCGGCAGCTTTGAATGAACATTTAAACGTAATTCAAGAGTTATTTGACGTGAAATCACCATATTTGATTCAATGTTACGGTTCGTGGATTGAGGATTATCATGTTCATATACAAATGGAATTGTGTGAACACACTTTGGATGATATTATTAAGGCAAAAGATAAAATTTTTAGAAACCAACGTTCAATGGCTATGGTTTGCATCGATTTCTACATATCGTATGAATTAATTCGAGAACTTTTACAATGCATTCGGTATTCACACGAATCACAGAATCTCGAAAACATTGATTGGATAATTCGACCAAATTATGTCCTCTTAGTGAATAACATTAGGAACGGTAGGTCAATTAAATTAACCATATTAAATTGGTACCAATGTGAAGTTAATGAGTATAATCGTGATCAATTTCAAACTATTGGGGACATAGCAGATAATATATTTAAATCGCTTTTAAACGAGTAGGTTTTGTCATAAAAATGCAATACATTTTAATTAAAATATTGTGTCTTTTAGAGCACTTCCAGTTGATTTGGGGATAAATATTGGAAAAATTAATGACTTTATAAATGCTATGAAAAATGAGACGTTTTTGAAGCAAAGATGTCCGACGGATGTGTTGAATAAATTCACACATAGTTTCGCACATAATATACGAATCAGTGATGAAATGATTTCCACATTTCAAACACACATCCAATCCATGTATTCACACGAATACTTCAATTTCTTTGTTGAATACCTTTTGGCGAAAATAAATGCAAATAAATCAGAGAT